GCAACATCAATTTCAATCTTTAGTCATACTGAAATCTGTTCTTTTATTTACTTTTTCAAACATTTAACAATAACAACACATCTTGAAGCTTCAAACGACAGTGATATAGTTCTATGAACGAATGCTGATACGGTTGGGATCCGTCTACCCAAGTTTTTGTTGCTATCTGAGTATCGGGGTTCAAAACATTTAATAACAACAACACATCTTTTAAATGAAACATAAAAAGGTTATTTTCTGAAGGCAAGTTAGAAGCAGAACGTCAGTTGAAATAACATTTATATATTCTTTTCTGAAATATACAATAACAATAAAATGTAGTGAAGTTTGTTTTATAAAGCAATTAAATGTTCGTAGTGCAGCATAAAATGTATGAACTTACTTTATGACGGTCAACCTAATGTGCTCGTGACAAAGCCTTAGTCGGCGGCTGCTTTCATCTCTTCATTTTGTGCATGTGTGTAAGTGCGTGTGTACGCACGCACGTGTAGATCAAACTGACGTCCTAAGTTGCTGTGAGCCTCGAGCAGCAGTATACTTCTATTTTTATATCGTTAATGGGGGATCCGAACTTTAATTTCACATAGAGCTGCGAACTTTATGAATACAAGGTTTTCACTAGTTAAAAAATGATTTCACACTGGATTGCAAAAATCTTTTTCTTGAATTTGCGGGAGTGGTGAAAGGAGTAATAATTATTTTCTAAACGGTCCAAAAATAACACGTAGTACGTCTACAACTATGTCCGCGGGTATTTTAGGTAGTATTTGCCCTTGTAGTGACTGTTTATCAAATAAACCTTCTGGTGGGATATTATTGGTTGAAAAAAAAAATGAATTATTTCACCCCAAGCAATAGCACCCAAGGAGTTACAGAGAATGGGAGCAAGAGTAAAGAGGCATGAAACTTTAAGGATACGGAATTTCAGGACGAATTATTTGACTTAATACAATCATTCCTGTCAAACCGTGTAATGAAAGTCGGACTTAACGGATTCTTCTCCAGTTCCTTTCTCACGAACGCTGGTTTTCCCCAAGGCTCTATTCTGGGCCCTACACTGTTCCTGGTCTTCATCAGTTCCCAAGTAGGCATCTAATGCAGACGACACTACTATTTACTCCTGCCTCAATAGCAAATCCTGACCGTTGGTCTCGAAAAGGACCTCCAATCTGTTGTTGACTGGGGCAAGAAATGGCTGGTTAGCATTAATGCCTCAAAAACAAAACTGCTCTCTTTTACCCGCTACGGAGAACCCTCCCTGCCTCCCAATAGAATGTCTGATGCTCAACTCCACGTGAGCACTTCTCTGCGACTGCTTGGTCTCACACAACAGAGATCCCTTCCTGCCTCTCATCAGAATGACTGATTCCCAACTCCTCGGGAGCGCCTCGTTACGCCCGCTTGGTCTCACGCTGTCCACTGACCTGAGATGGAGCAAATACATTGAATCAATAGCTTCATCTACCGCAAGGAAAGTTGGTTCCCTGTGTCGTGCCGGAAAGTTTTTCTCCCCCGAATCAATCCTTCAAATCTATAAATCAACCATTCTCCCTTGCAAATAATACTGCTGCCATATATGGTCTGGAGGCCCCGATGTTTGTCTTAAGGTCCTCGACAAAATCCAGAGATGGATATGCAATGTGATTGGCCCTCATCTGGCACTTCGTTTACAGTCGCTTTCTTACAGACGTACCGACGCTTCCCTCTGTTTTTTTCTACAAATACTTTCACAGTAACTGCTCCGACGAGCTACTTTCGTTGCTTCCCAAACTGCATGAATTTAAACGTACTATTAGGTTGGCATCTAAGTTCCACCTTTTCACTGTCGAAACTGTCTCCTCTACTCCAATAATTTCATGTCTTACACTTCCCGTCTGTGGAACTCCCTTCCTCTTACTTGCTTCCCTGGGAGCTATAATCTCTAACTATTCAAATGCAGTGTCAATCGACATCTCCAGATGCCTTGATCTAATTCCTCGTTCTTCTCTTCATTCCTATGCTTTCTCTCTACTAAATTCTCCTCATTCTGTTGCCCTCCCAGTAACCTCTTGTTTTGTAGTGGCACTATCGCTTTGCTTGGGGTGAAATGATTAAAAATCTTCTTTGACAATGGCTTATGGAAGCTTAAAGTACTCAGACATTGGAAAGTTTATATATATGTACTGGAAACAAGAAAAAATCAATAAACTATTCTTCAACAAAGAAGCGTCCCGTGTATGACGATAAACTACATCCGCGTCCTGGGTATGACGATAAACTACATCCGCGTCCTGGGTATGGCGATAAACTACATCCGCGTCCTGGGTATGACGATCAACTACATCCGTGTCCTGGGTAAGACAATAAACTACGTCCAGCAGCAAGGCCTCTGATCCGGAGGTTTTGAGGAGCGTGGAACCACCTCTTAATTGCTGGTGCTCCTAGATCCACATTGACCCGGAGTGGTAGCACCTGTTAGGATCCCAGCCATGGGCAAATAGTTAACCCTGAAACTGGGGTAAAAAGATTATGGAATTGTAAAAATAGGTTTTAATACCAGAAATACTTTGTAAAAAAAATTATTACCAGCAATAAATCTTTGAACAAAAAACTATTACCAGCAATACATTTAAAAAAAAAAATTACCAACAATGTTTTTAAAAAAATAAATACTACGAGCAATACATTTTTAAAAAAATATTACCAGCAATACATTTTTGAAGGAAAAATATTACCAGCAATACATTTTTGAAGGAAAAATATTACCAGCAATACATTTTTGAAGGAAAAGTATTAACAGAAAGAGATTTTTGACAAAGCAAAATATTACCAGCAATAAAAATTTTGTCAGCATTAAATAATGAGGTTGATATGACGTAAAACAAAACAAACCAAAATCTTCGACAAAAACTTGCATTTGTCTTTATCAAGACTTGTATAAATATTAGTAATAGAATAATAATGTAAATATTTAGAACTGTAGTGTGTAAATGTTAAAAATAACCAGCGTCTATGATGTAACTAGAATCTAATCCGACGACAACGGCGACTGCTGATGCCTTTACTTAAATCTTCGGATGGAAGAGAACAGCAACAAGTCATTCTACGTAAAGCAATTATCTTTTTACGATTACACTTGAGTTCTATTAAAAGCTTTTTTTTATCAATGTTCAGGCTGGTAAGACGTCCAGATTTGATAAAAGCAGAAACGAGCTGATAAACACTACTCCATTGCTATTTCCGTGGCGAATGTGCAGATTGAGCCCCATTCTTAAATTCATACAGTTCAGATCTTTACAACTAGGACACATACTATATATCTACGAAATCGTATCACCATCATTTCCCGTTCCCGTATTCCAAATCTAAAAAAAAAATGGTTCTACTCAGACAGCTTTTTTTTGCCCCAGAAAATACTACTTCTGGAAAAAAACAAATTCCCAAGTAAATGTTTCCTTGGCGACAATGATCTTAACATCTTTAAATCAAGTCTCAATCATTATCTATTCTCCATATTATCATCATGTTCACTTCTCTTCAACATCCTTTTTCCTTTATATTACACATCTCATTCATAATAACCATTTTACCAGTAGCCCTCTACTTTCACTGGACTCGAGGACTTGTCGTGGGTGAACTTTCTTTCTTCTTTTTATGTACCATGTCCTTTCAGCACGTAGGAGATCATGGCTCTCCACCCCCTCTATCTCTTGCAGCTTCTTAGTGCCTTCCCTCTGCCATCTCCACCAGACCACCTTCTGTCATCCGCTTGCTCAAGCACGCAAGGTATGTTATGCATTGTATTCCTTTGTCTCTCTTTCCCTCTATTAGACCCGTGAGTATCAGATTCTCCAGGCCCTCTTTCCCCATAATGTGTCCCAGAATCGTCAGCCGCCTCTTCCTGATGTTAAGTATAAGCCTCCTCCTTGTTTGCAACCTCTCTAAGACCTAATCGTTGCTCACCCGCTCAATCCATGATAACCTAAGCATCCTTCTGTAGAACCACATTTTTGTCGCCTCGAGTAACTTCTTCATTTTTGAGGAAATCTTCCAACATTCGCTGCCGTAAAGAAGGACAGATGGCACGTAGTAGACGCATTAAAAAGATATCGCGCGCCACCTTATGTCACCCTACTCTCTCTTTCGATAGCCATGTGAAAGCATTTCTTCATTGTTACTAGGCATACTACTAATTCAAAATAACTAATCTAACACCAGTCGATCATCCGTGGCTATGTTACTATTCCTCTCTCTCTCTTTCTCTCTCTCTCTCTCTCTCTCTCTCTATATATATATATATATATATATATATATATATATATATAGGGTGTATCAAAAATACTTTTACAAACTTTAGGGGCTGGTTCCCCACACCAAAAAATAAAAAAGACAAAAGTTCATATAAATGTATTTACGCATGTATTTTTGTGGGTCACATGGAGAACATGCCTTGGGTGATATATATATATATATATATATATATATATATATATATATATATATATATATTCCTAAATATAACAGATAACGAATGTCTATTATGTTTGATCATGAGCCGTTCTCAGCTTTGTATAGTTGCCTTAATTTCAGGAGAAAATAAAGACAAATATTGTCTAATATTTGGATATTTTTTTATCATGCTGTTCCTGGATGTAATCTTTCGGTTCACATGAGCCATCTTCAGAATGGTTATATGGACATTTAAACAAATATATTCAGCATCAAAAATTGTATTCTGTTATGTTGCTTAAAAGTTTGCTATGTGACGATAGCGGTCGGGGAATATATATGTGACGTGTCTCTTCATGACGTGGGCGATCGTGGATCTGCACCACTAAATTAACAGCCGTCTCATGGAACACCTAAAGTATGGATGGTCAGTAATGCTAAAAACTTTACATTTTCCACAATGCCCAAACTGTATATTCCCGCCACGAAAACATAGTCATCGTACGGGTAAAACAAGGTGAGATATGGAAGTAGCAAATAAAACCAAAATTCACTCTATATAAGCAAATGAAATGAAACGAATGAAGCGGCCAAGTGATATATATGGAACGACTGAAACGAACAACACAGCGCCTGTGTTTGTTGAAAACCTGGCGAACATTTGGCATAACGTCACGCGCTTGGCGTGCGTGTTCCGCAGGGCACGCTGTATACCAGCGCTCGGTGAGACTGTAGCACGTGCACATCACCTGAACAATATCAGTAATACGAAAGAAACGCGAAAATAGAAATTTCAAGCATAATTGCCGATCGCAAAATCTAAGACGCGTAGGTTTCGAAGAACTGATACCAAAGAAGATCTAAGTGCGCATTTTGATGCCAGTTTATTTCTTAGTCATTTATTTATTTTTAATCATTTCACCCCAAACAAGGCAGCAAAGCCACTAAGTCAGTGGGAAAATAATTAATCACTCACAAGTTTGCGCTTGTCCTGTTCATAACGAGAAGACGCTCTCTATTTATTGAGAATTCTTTTCTTGGGTATTTAGCGTCATTGGTGTCAGGAAGCATTTTACGTTTGTAGGTAATATATATATATATATATATATATATATATATATATATATATATATATAGGGTGTCCATAAAGTTCGTGTTCACTTTAAAAAATTACAACTTTATTTATATTTGCGATAGAAATAATCTATAAAAAATGTTATTAAGTTTAATGTACCTAGTTTTAAGTATAGCTAAAATAACTAATGTGATTTCAGGCATTACTGTAAATCAGTTGGCAAATGTTTTCCGTGTTTACCCTTTGTATTGCTAATGATGGAGGACATGTGGAAACTTAAATAAAATTTCTATAAAACCTTAAAAAATATAGATTTTCTTCTTTCTAATACTTTTTACAAAAAACTGCACGAATGTCCGATATATCCTAGCGCTTTCGGTTATTCTATTAACCATTGTCAAGGGTTTTTTTTTTAATTGAATGTGTAGATTTTTCTATATGTATCTGAGGTGATGAGAATTTTTTATATAGTAATTTTAAATAGATTTTTAAAAAATCTGATATTATTGTTTTTTAATCTGATATTCATAATAGTATAAAATTTGTAACGGTACACTTCGGCTATAAGAGTGGTTTCCTGCTCGGAGGCGCGCTTCTTTTAGTGGGTCTTCTCTATTTAAGCCGGTTGTTTTTAATTTTACAGTTCATGAAAATAAACAATAGGGATTTGCTTGAAAAGGTGCACCAACTAAAAATATCGTTCATAGTAACTATATACAGGGCCAGATTATGACCTTGTTGGGCCCCTAGGCTAAAGAAAATTATGCCCCAGTCCTCAGACAGAACTACCCTCTAACTAAATGTTGTAACCTAGGGAAGGTTACTGAATAGAATAATCACATGAAGTAATGGTAATGAACGATAATACTTAGGACAAGAACAACACATATAAGATTCGCCAGCGGCGCGTAGAAGAAGTAGTCAACTGCTAGTGAAGTGAGTCAAGTGAATTCCACAATGAATCTCCAACTCCAGGATATCTACTAATCGCCACACATAGTCAGATGTGGCACAAGGCCAAATTCAATGTGGGGTATCCGAGCCCGTAGGCTCGGCCAAAAATTCCCCGTAGACCCCGTATAAAATGGGGTCGAGTAGCTCTTTCCCAAGACGAGACTCTACCCTTCGACATAGCCTCGTCTGGGGATCCTCTCTGTCCGGAGAGCTGGAGACGAATCTCCAAGTGCAGACCAACATACAGTATTTACTACTGTATTTATGTGAATGAAGACACCTATTATCGTCAGCAGGTATGCGACAACACTAAACCGCATCCGTTTTGAATGTTCTTGATTGCTGTCAGTTGTTTAAAACTGTTCTCCTTAATCTCATCCACAGTCTGAAATCTACACCTTTTGACTGGTGATAGACAGTCATAGAGAATTGGATATTAACTGTAGATAGATCTGGATAAGGCAATGTTTTGCCAAAAAATAAAAATCCTGCAAATAACTTTGATTATCTACTTTTTCGGTCATTTCGATCGTGACTGTCACACAGTACACGAACTCACTCAGTGGTCCCGCTTTTCCAACTGAACAATCTGTCTGTTTACACCGCACAGCCGTTCCTCGTAATATTCAAAATGGCTGTAGATTACTTTCAGAGCGGACCTCGTGTATAAAGTTGTCGAGGATGAATCGACGCATTTCAAACATGATTATTGGTATGGTTATTAAAAATAGCCCTGTTGGTTTGTAAAAACTGTCGGTACCACACCACTAAACATTACTGATATGAATATTCATTAACGACAATAATAATCTGTAACCTGCTGGAAACAGCGCAAAAGAGATAAAAAGACAACAAACGCAGGAAATAGGAACAATATAACAAGCAAAGAAAAGTACTAATAGAAAACCCCCCACAAAAAAAATAAAAAATCCAGTAGCATATAGAATCGATAGTAGACCAAATAATCATAGACATGGTTACGCAGAGAACACATAAAACGAGAAACAGAAACAATAATCGCTGTAAGCCATAATAGATGATTCAGAGCAAAAATAGACAAAACTCATTGAATTCGTGACTTCTAATGTTGTGGAGAAAAAGAAATTAATTGTAACGTTATAAATGAATGTAAGGCAACTGGCCCGGAATTAATATGAAAACAAGCATGACTGGATAGGAAGAGTGGTACAGTAGGAACTGCGCAAAAAGTTTCGATTCGACTGTGTAAACAAATTGGATCAGTAAAAACTAGAGGTTGTAGATAAAGTAAGATAAAACACTTTCAGATTTGAAATCCAGAAATAACAACCACATCCATTTGAGAAAACGAGATTTGAATATCGGAAACAAAAACCTGTTTGATCGTTATGTGGCTTTGCCAATGAAGCATGAATGGCAAGAGAAAAAAAAAAAGTATATGGACGGGAAAAAAACAGGATCCCGCCCAGGAGCTACGAAAAGTGTGGGGTGTAAAGGTTATGGGTTACGCTGATAATAACTGGCCCATTTGGAACAGTACTCAGAATACTAAGGACAATATTGGATGGATTAAAATTTCAAAGAAGTGTTGAGATTGTCCAGATTACAATACTGCTGGTGTTTGCGAGGTGCTGAGAAAACTTCTGAAAATGTAAGAAAAACTACAGCAATAACAGATATTTGATGTGAACCTAAGGATTCATTAAATACTGCTGCTGCTACTACTACTAATACTAATAATAACAATAATATTACAAAGAAAATTCTGTCTTGGAGGACAACAAACTTCACATTTCCTGGGTATTTGAAATTCGAACAGCTTTCTCTATCCAGGTCAGAAGGTAAGATCTATAAAAAAACAATATGTCAGTTGATGTGTTTCACTGTTCTGTCAGTGTTCAGACTAAAACTGAAAATATCTAAACGTTGCAATACAATTGAAAAAGGAAAAAAAAAAAAGAAGGAAAACGTGTCATCATTACTGGCAAGCTTGGAGCAATTTCAAAGAACATGACAAAGGGATAGAATCAAAACCACCCAGACAACAAAATCAAAATGCCGGTGAGAGTGCGAGAGTTGGAGAGACTTGTTGTCACTTAATCTCAACTAAAAGTGCTCAGCTACAAAGTACATAAAAAAAATAATGAGGTCAACATTATTAAATTCAACGGGAATTTTCAGTAGTAATTACTTGATCTCCAATGAAAGCCACAAATAAGTAAATTAGTCATAAAATGAAAGGATGCTGCAAGTCCTTATGATAAGACCATAAATATTGAACGCTCACTTAGGATAAAAAAACATAATAAATAAACACAAAGCCCATCAGTCGCGGAAGAGTGAGTATTTACTCTGTCCCCACCACTAGGACGAGATGTGACACAAGGTCTAGGTGGGGACCCGAGCGAGTACACGCGGGACAGGAACAAAAATTCCCCTCAGCCCCCACCCCCGCAGCCTTGGTGCGAGCACCGATCCCTCCCTCTGGTGCAATGGGAGGGCGCGACCTAGGACAGCTGTTCCCCAGGACTGGGCACCTCTTCAGTATAATTTTCCTCAGTTGCCCCTCTGTCCTTTGACAGAGAAGCCCCTGAGCGCACTCTGTCCGAGGACATAGACGCAACTGAGAGATGATAAGCAGACGCGTACCTACTCAAAAAGAGTAAGGTACGCTCTGAAGAGTATAGTTTTAAAAGTGTCGACGGAGGTATTTATAATGGCTGCACAGGACCAAATCTGTCTACCAGGAATTATCAGGCAAACAAAATAAAGAATAACAAATGTAGATTACGTGAACAACATGTCCAGACTATTAACCACTTACTGTCGGGCTGTCCGATATAATAATATTGGGCAGTACATTCACTGGAAGATATGTCAGTATTACAGTGCGCTACATGTTTAAAAACGGTATGGACATCCTGAAACAGTCATAGAAAGTCATTAGTTAATTATTCTATATTTAAAATAAGCTAATAGACCAGACATAGTGATTATAAAAATAAACGCATTTTCATAGATATGGTAGTGCCATCAGAAATATATATATATATATATATATATATATATATATATATATATATATAAATAATATATATATATATATATATGTGTGTGTGTGTGTGTGTGTGTGTGTGTGTGTATATATAAATAAAAAGAAAGAACAGTAAGATATATAATCCGGTGTTCTTATAGGTATTTTTATTTTTACAAAATAGTGCTCGATGTAAATTTACAGAGCATTAATATTATAAATTAATTGATTTAAAATATGTTTTTTTTCGCTACATTTTTGAAACATGGTTAGAACTGTGTAGCGGAAAAAACATATTTTAAATCAATTAATTTATAATATATATATATATATATATATATATATATATATATATATATATATATATATATATACTAGCAGCATGGCCCGGCGTTGCCCGTGCTTGATTCAAAAATCGTACGACTCATACAACAATCGCTATCACTTGACTTAAAATATTTTTGCCCTTCCTTGCCTTTAAAGGAGTGCTCTTTGCCATGCTGATGTTGCTACATGCCTTACTTCTTGCCTATCTCACACTGCGAATTTTTTCTAAGCTCTATACTAAACATTAAATCTGTTACGAAAAAAGAGCTAAACAAAATGAACACAAAACGATCAGCTTTAAAAAAGGACTCGTAACTAGAAAAACCGAATTAAAAAACAATGTTAACAACATATACTTTTTCATATCCAACCCAGTTCTGCTGAATCAGAATCAACGTTGAGTTTAAGCAAGCGAATGAGCCAATTGGAGTAAAGTGCCATGCAGATTTGAATTTTTCCCACTTGTGACGAATGCAGCTATCGATTTTTTTTTGCATGCTAGCATACTAGTTAACATTCGTGTCAGTCAGCTGTTGGCTCTCACCCTGGCTAATAGAATCTTCCTGCCTATTCATGGTAGCCAGCTATAGGCTCTCATTCTGGCCAGTAGAAAATGGCCGCAAACTACATGAAAAGTGCCGTAGAAGCATGAAAAAATAGATTAATTCCACTATCGATGGGAGTTGGAAAATGCAAACTCGGTCTTGGCCTCACCGCTAGCTTGGAGCATTTGCATGTAAATTTTGGTGCAAATCCGTCGAAAATTGCAGACGTGCATTCGTTACATACACACACACACATCCTGCCTTATATATATATATATATATATATATATATATATATATATATATATATATATACACATCTGTTGAAGAATGTGACAAAATAAATATAAGGCGCTTTAAATTGAAATAGGAAAATAATGTAACATCTTAAAACTAGTGTTTTATGCGTATAATAAATTGGAGCCCAATGTAAAAAATGAAACAGAAAAGAACTAAAAGAAGATCACTGGCTATTCCTATTTACAAGAATTTCTCAACATTGCAATGAGTGGAACTGCTCATCTACTCAGAAAAGTATTATTACACTAAAGAAAAGATAAACGTAGTACATGTGGAGTATCACTTAATACCAGAATGCATATGTTTACTACCTTTTGCCTTTGGTAATGAGGCGGAAAGGGAATGAAATAGAAAGCAAAAAATAAAAATAATAATAATTAGAAGAAGCTATATTATATAGCTAGATAGAAAGGAAGAAAAAGAAGAAGCTATATTATATAGCTAGATAGAAAGGAAGAAAAAGAAGAAGCTATATTATATAGCTAGATAGAAAGGAAGAAAAAGAAGAAGCTATATTATATAGCTAGATAGAAAGGAAGAAAAAGAAGCTATATTATATAGCTAGATAGAAAGGAAGAAAAAAAGAAGTTATATTATATAGCTAGATAGAAAGGAAGAAAAAGAAGAAGCTATATTATATAGCTAGATAGAAAGGAAGAAAAAGAAGAAGCTATATTATATAGCTAGATAGAAAGGAAGAAAAAGAAGAAGCTATATTATATAGCTAGATAGAAAGGAAGAAACAGAAGAAGCTATATTATATAGCTAGATAGAAAGGAAGAAAAAAAAGAAGCTATATTATATAGCTAGATAGAAAGGAAGAAAAAAAGAAGCTATATTATATAGCTAGATAGAAAGGAAGAAAAAGAAGAAGCTAAATTATATAGCTAGATAGAAAGGAAGAAACAGAAGAAGCTATATTATATAGCTAGATAGAAAGGAAGAAAAAGAAGAAGCTATATTATATAGCTAGATAGAAAGGAAGAAAAAAAGAAGCTATATTATATAGCTAGATAGAAAGGAAGAAAAAAAGAAGCTATATTATATAGCTAGATAGAAAGGAAGAAAAAGAAGAAGCTATATTATATAGCTAGATAGAAAGGAAGAAAAAGAAGAAGCTATATTATATAGCTAGATAGAAAGGAAGAAAAAGAAGAAGCTATATTATATAGCTAGATAGAAAGGAAGAAAAAAAGAAGCTATATTATATAGTTAGAAAGGAAGGAAGAAGAAAAATAATAATTAGAAAGAAAGAAGAAATAATATAGGTAGATAGAAAAGAAGAAGAAGAAAAGCAGCAGCAGCAGTTGTAATCGTAAGAGAAGCTGATGGCACAGGAGTTTGCTTTTGACAGGAAGTGGAGCAAACTTCTCTTCTCATTTTAGATAGAAGGCGCTCGGTACAGGGGATTCCAACATCGCGGCAGCACCTTCCCCATTGCACTAAGAGAGGTGGGGGGGCGGTGTAATATCGACGCCAGCGTGACAGTGGTCACAGGGACTGAGCAACTTTTGTCCTCGGCCCATATGCATATGTATATGGGCTCCTCATATCAAAAAATTGACTTTATATCACATACTGCATTTCTGGCGAGGCCAGATAAGTATAGGGTAGCTGTTACCTTGCTGGGGTAAAAATGCTTTAAGTGATAATTATTCAGTTCTTCTGAATAAACACCTTGATTTTTACGGAGAACTTCGGAAATAATGAACAGTATTCAAAATTGTTTTCTTTTTCTTTCCTTCTTTCTTTCTTTTTTTTTTTTTTTTGAGGGGTAGGTAGAGTTGTCATAAAACAGTCGTAATTTTAGTTGACAGTGAATCTATTTCTTCGTTTGTTTTCTTTTTCTGTCTCTCTTTCATTTTTATTCATTCTCTACGATCGAAATCAGACCAAAATATTCAAGTGCAGTTTCTCTTCTTAAAAATATTTAAAATAAATTTTGATATAAAAAAATAAATTAAGAACTGAAGATAAACAACGCACTATTTCTTTTATAGAAATTAGTTGTTTTTTTTTAGTCAGTAATTTTTTATTTTTGTTTTTAAATCGAAGAATTTTGATGATTAATATTTTAAATTACTTGTTCTAAATTCCATTCATCAATAAAGTTCCTTTTTATCACAAGACTCAGCCGAAGCGTTTCAAAAGACGCCCTGCTCTAGGTGTGGACACTGGAATGCCTATTCAAATCTCGCAGGAAACTCTTTATTTCTTATATTAGAATTGGTTGCTCGAGCCAGATTATATCGACCAACATGGCTATGATGAAAAGTAAAAACTATGGAGTTTAAAATTAGTAATATATACTATATCTGCGCGTAGAGAACTTACGACCAGATGAAAATTAGCGAATACGTAGCCAGACATTATTTGACTCGACAGAAGACCATATCATTGGATTATTTTTAATGATTAAAATAATAATAACAATAAAAAATAGTAATATATATATATATATATATATATATATATATATATATATATATATGCCGAAAAGTCGTGCTGCAGTAATCAAGGTTAAAGGAGGATATTTTGACGAGAGCAAAATTTAATCAATTTTTTTTCTTTTTGTCATAAGAATATTTCTAATAAAAAAAAATCATGTATCATTTTTTTAACCATGTATAAAAATGTTCTCTTACTTCAAGTTAAAGAGAACTACTTGGAACCAATTTAAAAAAAATTACCAAACTTTAGAACTATAGTGCATATGCAAACATACATCCATACATATTTGTTTCTTTCGTTAGTTAACGTTTCTTTTTATGATTTTTTTCTTTTTCTTATGGTAAATATTTTTTGAAGTTGCTTCATTGTTAGATACAGTACTTATATATGCATGTATATACTTAAAAAAACAAAAAAAAAACATGACGCGCGAAAACGCGATATTTGAAAAACGATGAAATATACATAGCAAACTTTGAAAATGGCTTATTAGAGAGTATTCTAACATACTTTATATAAAAAATATTCAAGCATTGACAATTTGTACTTAAACTGTCTCGGGAAATACACACACACATACAGGCTATAATAATAATAATAATAATAATAATAATAATAACAGATACAAATCAATACACGAATTAATACACAGACACTTAAACAGACATAGATTAGTGACTATGTCTCTGTAAGTGTATGTGTGTGAATTTGTATACGGAAAAAAATATTATTTACAAAAGATCGCGAAAGTGACAGTTTTTTTTTATATGCTTTTTTAAAAAAATAAATGGACAATATTGGATTTTTAATAAAACTCTGCCGAGTACTAAATAGGCCAAGAATAGGATATTGTTAGACTTAATTTTTTTTTTTTTTAAATTATTTAACCGTGTGAGTGAAATTTCGCTTCTATTTAAAATTATTTTTAGCTTTTTAAGAGTGAAAGAAAAGAAAAAAAGAAAGAAAGAAAGAAAAAGAAAGAAAAAAAGCAAAGAATAAACAAAAACTTGTCAATATTTACTTACTTTGTACTGTATTTGTAATGGTGATTAGAATTATTATTATTATTGTTCGTATCCGGACACTGTAACATGATGCTTTTTTTTTTTCTTTCGTTGTTTACTGTGTTTCTTTTGTTGCTATGTTTTCTTTTTTTTTCTTGTGGTCAATATTTATTGAAGTTGTTGGAGCAAACTTCGTTTATTCTCTGAGGTAAAAAAGGCAAAAAATAAAAAAAAAATATATTTATATTGACTCCGTCAAGTAGTTGTCGTCGATGGCGTCGTTGTTGTTATTGTTGCTGAGTTGAAAATTTTTCCCCTTTTTATGGAAGAAGGACGAGGTAGGTTGGCAATTAAAAAAAAAAAATAAAAAAAGAGGGGAGGGGGGAGAAGTTGAGTAATACGCGATCCTTGTCCACGGCGGTGTGTAAAAAGCGAGCTTTTCTGGTCCTCATGCGTCGTCAGATGTATTCCTGTAACGAGTTAGTTTAAAAGTCATATAAAAAGTATTAAAAATAAAAAAAAGGACATGAAAAAGCATGAAGTCAGAAACGTGCGTGCGCGTTCGTGCACACACACGTGCATACACACACACACACACACACTTGCTTAGCTTTCATTCTTTTTTTCTCACAACTGCATTTCTTTCACACACACATTCAACTTTCATTTCGTTTACCTTTCTTTTTTCATTTTATTTAAGTCTTTCTTTCTTTCTTATCCGTTTTTCTTTCTTTATTTTCATTTATCCATCTTTTCTTTTACCATTCTTTCTTTCTTTTTTCTTTCTTTCTTTCTTTCCTTTCGTCTCATTTATCCACTTTCTTTCTTTTCAATTACAATTCTTTTCATTTCTTTTTTCTTACTTTCTTTTTTTTTTTTATTTAAGGTTTCTTTCTTTTTCTTTTACCATCTTTCTTCCTTTCGTTTCATTTATCCTTCTTTCCTTCTTTATTTTTCATTTATCCATCTTTTCTTTCTTTCTTTCATTCTTTCTTTCTTTCTTTTCTTTTTTTATTTCTTTCTTTCTTTCTTTCTTTCGTTTTCATTTATCCACTTTTTTCTTTTTTTTCAATTTTCGCATTCCTTTTCTTTTCTTTCTTTCTTTTCTTTCTTTCTTTTCTTTCTTTTTTTTTTCTTTCTTTTTTCTCTTTCATTTTTTTTTTCTTTCTTTCTTTTTTTCATTTATATTTTCTTTCTTTCTTTTTTTCTTTCCATTCTTTCTTTCTTTTCTTTCGTTTTCCTTTTCTTTTCTTTCCTTTCTTTCACCTTTCTTTTTTCTTTCTTTCTTTCTTTCTTTCTTTCTTTTCTTTCTTTTTCATTTCATTCTTTCTTTCTTTCTTTTTCTTTTCTTTACCCATTTTCATTTTTCCATTCTTTCTTTTCATTTCCATCTTTCTTTTCTTTCTTTCTTTCTTTTCATTTACCCATATTTCTTTCTTTCTTTTCTTTCTTTCTTTCTTTCTTTCTTTCTTTCTTTCTTTTTTTCATTTACACACATTCTTTCCTTTATTTCTTTCTTTCTTTCTTTTCTTTACCCATTTTCTTTCTTTCTTTCTTTCTTTTCATTTACCCATATTTCTTTCTTTCTTTTTTCTTTCTTTCTTTCTTTCTTTCTTTCTTTCTTTCTTTTCATTTACACATATTTATTTCTTTCCTCTTTCTTTCTTTCTTTCTTTCTTTTCATTTACCCATATTTCTTTTTTTTCATTTTTCCCATTCTTTTTTACATTTTATTTCTTTCTTTCTTTCTTTTTCTTTCTTTTCTTTTTTCTTTTCATTTACCCATATTTCTTTCTTTCTTTCTTTCTTTCTTTCATTCTTTCTTTCTTTTCATTCTTTCTTTTTTCTTTTCATTTACCCATATTTATTTCTTTCTTTCCTTTCTTTCTTTCTTTCTTTCTTTTCATTTACCCATATTTCTTTCTTTCTTTCTTTTCATTTCTTTTTCTTTTTCTTTTCTTTTTCTTTTCTTTTTTTCATTTTTTTATTTCTTTCTTTCTTTTCATTTACACATATTTATTTCTTTCCTTTTCTTTCTTTCTTTCTTTTTTTTCTTTCTTTCTTTTTTCTTTTTTTCTTTTTTTATTTCTTTCCTTATTTCTTTCTTTTCATTTACTTTTCTTTCTTTCTTTTCTTTCTTTCTTTTTCTTTCTTTTCTTTTTCTTTCTTTTCATTTACACATAATTATTTCTTTCCTCTTTCTTTCTTTCTTTTCATTTACCCATATTTCTTTCTTTCTTTCTTTCTTTCTTTCTTTCTTTCTTTCTTTCTTTCTTTCTTTCTTTCTATGCACGCTGACAAGCAATAGTAATTCACAGTTTCTTTTGTGAGAGAATATAATTCAAAGAATCCAAACATTGAAGAATCTCCAATAATATTAAAGAAGAATAACATTAATTCTAGCAAAAGAAGGTGCATCGAAAGGTTGTCCATACCTGGCACAGATGCGTGTGTGTGCCTGAGTGTGTGTGTGTGCGCGCATAGATAATCACAACTGTATTATACATGTAAGGTTGCAAGCATATAATAATTATATGACTGATAGTATATGTCAGCAACATACACTTGTTTCGCAGACACGTACAAACATGTAATGGTGTTCTCTCTCTCTCTCTCTCTCTCTCTCTCTCTCTCTCTCTCTCTCTCTCTTATTCCTTCACCTATAGATATATTCAGACACATCCATGAGTCGATTGCTATAGTGTACAAGAAGGGTTAGTCAATTAATTTGTTTTTTTGAAAGTGATTAATGTATTTAAGCCAGTCTTAAAAGTTTGTGAAGTCCGTTTGGTTATCACAGGGGACTTCACACAATTTGCTAAACTACGTAAACACACACACACACACACACACACACACACACACACACACACACACACACACACAGGAGAGAGAGAGAGAGAGAGAGAGAGAGAGAAAGTGGGAGACAGAGACAGATAGACAGAGAGACACAAATCTGTGTCTTTAGGAGAAGATAGGTTCGCCTATCGCCCGGTTCACATTACTCTCCGGTCTTTTGAACAGGAGGAGAGGGTTGTCACTTGTTTCCTGTTTATGATTAGGTTTCTGGGTCCTTCTAAAGTTTCCTTTGCCTATACTCCGAAATTTTATTTACTATTTATTTTATTTTTTTCTTCACTAATAGACAGGTTCGCCTATCGCCCGGTTTACAGGCCTCTTCAGTCTTTTGAACAGGAGTAGAGGTGTATCCCTTGTTCCGTATTTAAGATTGGGTTTACGGTTCCTTCTAAAGTCTTTTCATTCACTTTCACTCTCCCTGTTGCCCCTTGCGTTTTAGTGGCATTATCACCTTGCTTGAGGTGAATTGATTAAAAAAAAGTACATTCGTGTCTCGTATATATGTACGCTGCTAAGTCTAGGTGGGGGTATGTGTTGAGAGATTGGGGTTTATACCAGTTGTTCAAATAATCGGGTAGGTTTAACCGTTTCGAAAATCATCATTCGAAATACTTTTAAAGTTTTAAAAATGAATAGATACAATTACAATTTAGTTAAATGTTACTCTTAATATGATGAGAAAGTAAGAAATCAGTAAAAGTCTTGTATCATCGAAAGCGTCCGCTATCTCTGGCTTCCTCCGGTTAGGATATAATTTTTTATAAAAAAAATCACAACTTTAAAATCCTTGCCATTACCTAGATGGGCTGTAAGCTTAGATATGAGTCTGGTATGGCTTAAGGCTATATCACCTTGAAACACCGATTCTAGTGCGATCAACGAAGTTAAACAACGTCGAGCCTGGTCAATACCAAGATGGGCGACCGCTTGGGAATATCACGTGCTGTAAGCTTGGATGTGCGGGTGGTGTATTACATAATGGCCCGGAAATTGGAAATTGCCGAGTTCGAATTCCAGTCGGGTTCGTTATATTTACTTACACGCAAATACCCTTGGGAAGGGGATGAATCCACATCGTCTCCTCTCCCCTCACCATCTATGAGTTAATTAGTAAGATTTGTATCAGTCAAACAATGCTATCTAAAAATAAAATCTTACAATCTAAAAAAAAGATGTTTTCTGGTTTTAAATAACACGCAAAGGGTTGATAAACCGTAAAAAACAAATCAACCAAGCTTAATTTAAGGATTGTGCTCTCGGCATTCATTTTCTATATAAAGAATTTTGTACATTGCAACTACTCCCCATCGAAAAAGTTTGTAAAATCTTTATCAAAAAATCTAAGTTTAAAGTTACCTGTCTGTTGTCGTGACTAAATTTTTATTGCTTCTTAATCTTTTTTTAAACTTTCCTTTCTATTTTCAAATTAGTTTATGATAAGCAGAAAACATGTTGTTTGTTAATGTTTAATGCAAGTTTTTTTAGCCAAAAATTGAGAGGAAAAAATGTTTTACGTAAAAGCTATTTATTACAATTAGATACTAATCTTATTCGCATTTCCAGATAAATAATGCAAATATCTAAATTTAAATCCTTCAATTTTTATTCAAGTTTTTTTAACAATTACATTTTTTCTCTCTGAGTAATTTTCAGCTCGTGTTAGTATGAAGGGAAAGGATGAAGGTAATAAAATAATTATTGAAACCTGAACCTTACCACTCTGCGTACAATTTTCCTTGACAAAGGAGTGGAGGCGTGCCAATTGAAGGTGAAGGAAAGGGAAAGAAAAGCAAGTGTTTTTTCTGCTACAAAAAATTGTTTTGATAAACGTGATTTATCTGAAATGCTTATGTTGACCGCCAAAGTTTTTCGGGTAAATTGGAGCCGACCTTTGGCTATAGAAATCCCTGTAATACGACCATCAACAGAAGTAGGAGACGCGATGCCAGGAGTGGGAGATGCGACGCCTTTCAAAGCATCTGAAAACCTAACTGAGCGTAGAGTCAAAGAAATCTACTTCTCAACGGAATCTTGACAACCGAATTGGCGTTTACACGACATAATTAAGTCTTATTTTCACCCCAGCTATCGTAACAAAATAGACGTTTCTACGCAAGAGGACAAGTACTGTTTTAAAAAATAACGCTCTACGGTGAAGACTCTAAACTCTTAAGGCACGAACGGATTCTGTCACGAACTTCGATAACTCATATTAAATCACAAGCACTATTAAGAACATCTATATTTTATACCGTCAAGATAAATAAACCCTTTTAACTGCGTTCGCTCTTACTAAAAATGTTTTATTGCAGTATCTTCCTTAGGATTTGGAATTGTCTTATATACGCTGGCATGATTCTGATTGTAAACTTGATCTTTTTTCCCCACAACTACCATTGAACCTTATTTTTGAAAAACAAGTTACTTGTCCAAAAAATTATTATCCCCTTTTCTTTGCGCACAAAACACCAAATTTTTGCAGCCCTAATATTTAGTAAAACCTGCTTTTATTTTATTTTAATAAAATTGTTTTGGTTTTATATCTTACTGCGTGTCTGTCGTTATTTTTTCAGTATGCCTTGTTGCCGCTTGATCTCCATTCTCCCTAATCTTTTTAAGAGAACACACATGAGTATACACTAATAGTTCTTTATCCTGTTTTAAACTACAATTTTCCACGATTTTCTCACGTACATTCATATCTGCTCGATAAAAACAGTAAAATCGACCTTGCTAACCGAAACGCTCCTCTGTGGCGAAATCGGTAAAAGCACGTCAGGCTACATGACGGTTCCGTATAGGATACAGGTTTGATTCCTGTCGGAGGTCGAATATTTTCTATGACAATTTCTCGGACATTCAGGCCGGTAAACGTTGTTAATACTGTTTATAAACAGAGCATTTACTTAAATATTTGTATCTATAAAAAGAAAAAAAGAAAAAAAAAGAATGTATAATCATAAAAACGTCTTAAAATAATTGTCGGACTTTGTACATTTCATAAAATTATTACTTTTCACCAATAGTGACGGGCTTATAATAAATAGGAATAGACATGCAAACAAACAAAAAAGAATACTCAAAACTTAAGTGCTTCTTTTTATACTGGTCACTGAAACTATGAAAACAGGGTAAATAAGTAACTTATTTTCTTTATGGTGAGACATTGTGTTGAAGGATTTAGTATATTTTTTCTTTCTTGCGGTATTTATGTCTTACAGGTGCTAAGTAAGTACATTCAGTTAAAATGTGTTTTACCGTGAGTACGACTTGGCATGCTATACATGTTGGTTGATCTTTATTCTTCAGTAAGTATGAATGGGTGTGGTATGTGTGGCTTATGAGCAACCGAGTCAACACTACCGCAGCCTTGCTTCCTTTTCTAGACACCCGCCTCCATTCATCCAGGACCGGGGTAATTATTCGAAGCTTATTATTTCCATTGTCGATTCTGCCACTCCTGTTCAATGGAAGTGTTTATTTAATTTTTCAGGTCGGTATAAGGGATCCCAAATTATTATCAAGGGTTTCATTTCGAGCAAATATTGAGGCCGAGTATGCTTGTTCATTCCCTTTTCATTCCTATGTGGCTTAGGTTCCAGCATAACACTATTGCTTTACGGTTTGCTAATGAATCAGGCCTGCATCGCAGTTACACCAGCGGTGGGTTGTCAAGTATTTTTTTTTAAATATTTTTATTGCTATTATAACTGAAAGGGAGTCAAAAAAATATCACATATTTTTTATTTTTCATTCTAGACATGAATTCATGTGCTAGGTCGATTACACAAATCTCTGCATTTTTTTTAAGCATATCACTCCAAATCAGGCTAGAGTGCCGCTATCACGCAAGGGGTTACAGAGAGTGAGAGCAGGAGTAAAGAGGGGTGCTCGTGAAAAGGATAAAGAAAGGACGAAAATCAAGGGCAAGGCCTCAGAAGATGTTGATAGACATTACATTTGCATATGTGAAGATTATTGCTACCAGGGAATCAAGTAAGAGGAGGTGAGTTCTACTGACTTCCTATGTTTGTTAACTAGCGTCATTTTGTTGACGTGCTGCTTTCTCACACAATAATAATAATAATAATAATAATAATAATAATAAATAGAAAGAGATGGGAGAAAGAGAGAGCGAAAGAAGGGCACCTTATTGCTTATGTTTACGTATATTCGTGCATGTTGCTTAGCTTAGATCTAATAATAGCTACATCGACTGTTCTAAGTGGGTCATAAATTCGTTGTGGTTGCCGTTGGTGAAACACCATGACCTTGACCTGAACTCGAACTTCGAACGTGCGTAACTGCAATCGAAAGTTATAACCGATACTTTGCCAGCCTTACCATTAGTTGTACATATCTGAAGCCGGTTGTGGATCGATAAACTACCTGAATGGAATTACACCGAGCGGTAATCAGTTGACTGTAGTTGACGTTTTGACAGCAGGTTAAAAAGAATTCTCTTGCAATCAGAAAAAAATAAAATAGAATAAAAAAAATATAGAATAAATTTACTTTTTTATTTTCTTGCTGGTTATTCTTATCATTTTTGTTGTTATTTTTCACAACGTTTCGGCCGTTGCACCCTCTGGCCTTCATCAGCTGTCGATCCGAGTAATAGTTTCATACTACATCCCAAACGAATCTCCTAATAGAAAAAAACAGTATTCTTGCTTCCCCTCCCGAGGCTAATATGTTGATGATGAGAAGAGATATGCAGACCATATAAGGTATTCACAGATAGAAAAAGGACTCGAAATAGACGTTTCCAAAACAGGAATTATGATTTGGAATTAGAGTAAAAGCAATGGTGGTACCCAAAATTCATGATGTAGAATTAGTACATATTAAACATTTCAGATACCTTGGTGTATGGTTTGGTTATAATAAATTCCGTACAAGAGATAAAGAAATTGAACATAGATTAGGTTGCGCTACGGGTAGTTTCACTGCAAATTGTTACGAAAGCAAAATACCAACGTAAAACTTCGAGTCATGTTCTTAAATTGCCTCATTAGATCGAGACTTACATATGGATGTCATGCATGGTGCCAAAGCCGTTTAGAAATATATAAACTGTTAGCTGTAAAACGACCGCTTTCTATGATCAATGGTTAAAAATAGTTTCGGGCGAATGAAGCCTGTTTGAAGATCATGGCGAGGACCATCCTTCTTCGAACTTTGTGCATTGACGCTACAAAATCACTAAAACAATAAACTGTGCAACTAACTGGTAGATTTCTTTATTGTTATTTTTGTAACCAATAAATAGAAATGTAGGACAGAATTTGGACGGAAATGAGAGAATGGATATCTAATAACACGGGTTTATTTGGATAATTGCTTTCTTTCTTCCGCTTATTTCTTTCTTTCACTCTTCAGATTTCTTTTAATCTTCAGATTTCATTATTTCTTTCTTTTAATCTTCAGCATTCTTTCTTTCTTTCTTCCTTTCGTTCTTTTAATCTTCAGCTTTCTTTCTTTCTTTCGTTTTTTTAATCATCAGCATTCTTTCTTTCTTTCTTTCTTTCTTTCATTCTTTCACTCTTCAGCATTCTTTTAATCTTCAGCTTTGTTTGTTTGTTTGTTTCTTTCTTTCTTTCTTTCACGCTTCAGTCTTCTTTCTTTTAATTTTCAGCATTCTTTCTTTCTTTCTTTCTGTTTTTGCTCTTCAGCGTTCTTTCTTTTAATTTTCAGCTTTCATTCTTTCTTTCTTTCTTTCTTTCTTTCTTTCTTTTAATCTTCAACTTTCTGTCTTTCTTTTAATCTTCAGCTTTCTTTCTTTCTTTCTTTCTTTCTTTTAATCTTCAACTTTCTGTCTTTTTTTAAATCTTCAGCTTTCTTTCTTTCTTTCTTTCTTTCTTTCATTCTTTTAATCTTCAACTTTCTGTCTTTTTTTTAATCTTCAGCTTTCTTTCTTACTTTCTTTCTTTCTTTCTTTCTTTCTTTCTTTCTTTCATTCTTTTAATCTTCAGCTTTCTTTCTTTCTTTCGTTTTTTTAATCATCAGCATTCTTTCTTTCTTTCTTTCTTTCTTTCTTTCACTCTTCAGCATTCTTTTAATCTTCAGCTTTGTTTGTTTGTTTGTTTCTTTCTTTCTTTCTTTCTTTCACGCTTCAGTCTTCTTTCTTTTAATTTTTCAGCATTCTTTCTTTCTTTCTTTCTGTTTTTGCTCTTCAGCGTTCTTTCTTTTAATTTTCATCTTTCATTCTTTCTTTCTTTCTTTCTTTCTTTCTTTCTTTTAATCTTCAACTTTCTGTCTTTCTTTTAATCTTCAGCTTTCTTTCTTTCTTTCTTTCTTTCTTTTAATCTTCAACTTTCTGTCTTTTTTTAAATCTTCAGCTTTCTTTCTTTCTTTCTTTTAATTCTTTTAATCTTTCTTTCTTTCTTTTTTTAATCTTCAGCTTTCTTTCTTTTTTTTTCTTTCTTTCATTCTTTTAATCTTCAACTTTCTGTCTTTTTTTTTTTTTTCTTCAGCTTTCTTTTTTTACTTTCTTTTTTTTTTTCTTTTTTCTTTCTTTCTTTCTTTCTTTCATTTTTTAATCTTCAGCTTTCTGTCTTTTTTTTAATCTTCAGCTTTCTTTCTTTCTTTCTTTCTTTCTTTCTTTCTTTCTTTCTTTCTTTCATTCTTTTAATCTTCAGCTTTCTGTCTTTCTTTTAATCTTCAGCTTTCTTTCTTTCTTTCTTTCTTTTAATCTTCAACTTTCTGTCTTTTTTTTAATCTTCAGCTTTCTTTCTTACTTTCTTTCTTTCTTTCTTTTAATCTTCAACTTTCTGTCTTTTTTTTAATCTTCAACTTTCTTTTTTTCTTTCTTTCTTTTAATCTTCAGCTTTCTGTCTTTCTTTTAATCTTCAGCTTTCTTTCTTTCTTTCTTTCTTTCTTTCTTTCTTTCTTTCTTTCTTTCTTTCTTTCTTTCACTCTTCAGCTTTCTTTTTAATCTTCAGCTTTGTTTGTTTGTTTCTTTCTTTGTTTCACGCTTCAGTCTTCTTTTAATTTTCAGCTGTCATTCTTTCTTTCTTTTAATCTTCAACTTTCTTTCTTTCTTTCAAAAAAAGAAAGAAAGAAAGAATCGCTGACTTTCCAGGCGACTTTGGAACTCAGACACGGGCGTTTCTTGAAAGACTATCGTTACCCCTTCCCTCACAAATGTGTATCGCTATCACTTTCTTTAAGGACATTTACTTTCTCGAAATTGTTGTTCGACCACTCTTCTTATATATGCCGTGTCTCTTCAGGACATGGACGATCATCGTTCTCCACAACTTCCAGTCACTTGTAACCCTAAGTAACTTTTATCGTTTTACCATCTCTCTTTGTTCACTCACACAAACTCATTAGGTTGGTTACGCGCTGTTTCCATTTGCTCCCTTTTGCCTTGAGTATGCCCTGTGGGTGTTAAATTCTCTCAGCATCTTTTCTTCATAATGTATCCCAGAAAGATTAAATGTTTCTTTCTGATTTTAAGTAGACGTGTTCTATAAGCTGTCATTTTCTTTAAAACTTCCTCGTTGCTCAAATAATTAGTTTATGGCATTTTTCACTATCTGTCAGTAGAACCATACAGACATTTTTACATTCTGAACCATCTATGGGTTAAATAGTAGAACTTGTATCTGGCATAATCATTGTTAATCTAAAAAAAATGTTAATGTAATATTCACACACCAAAAATATTATTCTTACAATCCAAAACACATTTCAGCTTTAAATAACCCAGAAAGGGTTGATAAGCCGTAAAATAAATAATAAAAATCATGATCTGAAACACGATTTTTTAACCACTGGCTCAAATAAGCAACTCTTGATTCCTTCAGTATCTGTCTATATTTCTGAGATGAGGTATAACGTACACTATTACATTATTCGGACTATTGTCCTCACCTTTGTCGCCATATTTATTGCAACGTTTCGGTCGTTGTACGCTCCGGCCTTCTTCAGGTGGTTGGAATGTCGAACTGAACCCTTTATTTCGTTCACTGGGGTGGACTGTTCTACTTCCACGTGCCATGTTTAAGTCCTTCTTCCCCCTTTGCTAAAATATAATCCCCGAAAATATGAAAGACATATCACGTTGAAAGACGGGTTATTGTACGATCACCGAAGTTAAGCAACATCGAGCGTGGTTGGTAACTAAATGGGTGACCTGGAATACCATTTTTTGTAAGTTTGGATGTGCGGGGGGTATAATGGATAATGGTTCGAAATTGTTAATCTGAGAGCAGAGTTTCAATTCCGGTTGGGTTCGTTATATTTACTCACTTGCAAATACCCTTGGGAAAAGTATGAATCCACCTTTTCTCCTCCCCCATCTATGGGTTAATTACTAAGTCTTGTATCACTAAATAATTATTATCCATCCACCCTAAAAAAGAAGATTCTTGCAATATAAAAATATATTCTGGCTTTAAATAACTCTCAAATGGTTCATAAGCCACAAAAAAGTAATTCAATCATAACATTATATATATATATATATATATATATATATATATATATATATATAGGGCACAGTGGAGGAATTGGAGACCTGAGTTCGAATCCATTACATTCACTTACGGGAAAAATGAATTCTCTTCTTCTTCCTCCAGCTATGGGTAAATAGCAGGACAGGCTGGGTTCTATAGCCTTGGATGGCAACTGGTCTAGGAGAAGGACAACTCTGAATTCAAAACCTTGAGGATCCTGTGGTACGTAGTGCACCATGTCTCTGTATTCAGCCCTTCAAAAAGTATGGATGGTTCTGCCCAAAACCTTCACCACTATAATAAAACCTCATGTGCTGCTGTCGGTTTCCTAGGAACTGATCTGCTTGACCCTTGATCTTGGTATTATTATTATTAGAATACACCTTTAAGTGCTGAATCTAGATGCGTCGTCAGTGTTGTTGCTCCCATGTCACTAGAAGTTTCGGGTCTAAATAAACAACAGACTTCTTCGATGGGCGACCCGACCGAATATGATCAGTATTCGGCCCGCACCTAGAACAAAAATTGCCACTAGCTTTAGGACGCGAATTATATAAGTTGCCCCAGTAAAAAAAAAAAAAAAAAAAAAAACAACCAATAAAGACTCCACTTACTTGGGCTATTCGAAGTTATAAATTAGGTATGCATGGTTGTAGTGATCTTCCTACTTGCGGCCAAGAATGGGTGTTTTTTGGAAGAATAGGAAAAACAAACCAATAAATATACTCATAAATACATCTACATATATACATATATACACTCACACACATTCACACACACAAATATATATATATACACACAAAAAAAAAACAAAAAAAAACGATTTATTATATTGGCTCGCCTTGCGACTTGTCCTTTCTCTCCCCCCCCTTTTAAGTAACTTATTTGTTTGGTCTTTCTTTTCTTTTTACTTTTTATTCTTCTTTTCTTTTCTAAACTACCCTTAATAAAACGTTTACAATAGCGTGGTTAAAAAGACAGACTATTTACAACTTTAAAAACTAAGAGAAAAACATTTGACTAAAATCGCTTAAAAATAAATTTATCAAACTTGGTATATTTTGTTTTCAAATTTAATTTCTAACTGAACCCTTTTGCATACACAATGTGTTATTTTAGTTGACTGCAGTATACACAACTTATCAAAAAGTATGAACAGGAGTCATTTTTTTTTTAATCCCTACATGAGAATTATTTGCACTTAGCAACCATTTAAAATAAAAAGATGGAGTGTAAATGGAGGGGGCTTTACTTACTTTTGCACATTTTAATCATTCATTTTTTATTAATATTTTTATTCAAGCATCATAAAAAAAATGTTGAAACTAGTTGAAATTCGTTTAATAAATTTTTCCTTAATGAATATATAGTTTAATTAATATTTTTTGATTATACGGAGAAAAGAAACATTTTTTAAATTTTATCTTAGGGGTTCACTTACATTTGCACAGCACTGTGTGTGTGTGTGTGTGTGTGTGTGTGTGTGTGTGTGTGTGTGTGTGTGTGTGTGTGTGTGTGAATTATCTCACCCAGCACAGAAACAGAAACCATAAATTGTGTGTGTGTGTGTGTGTGTGGTGGCTAAGAGATAACAGATACATAGTGAGTGAGTGTGTGTGTGTGTGTGTGTGTGTGTGTGTGTGTGTGAGAGAGAGAGAGAGAGAGAGAGAGAGAGAGAGAGAGAGAGAGAAAATAATGACGGAGAGGTGGCAGGGGAAGAGAGAGAGAGACAGAGAGATAAAGTGAGGAGTAGAGCAACGAAACTACGTATAAAGCGAAATACACATTACTTACATTAGTTACATTCAGACTATTATCCTCATCTTTGTTGTTGGCCATTGTGTCCTCCTACCGTATTCCTTTTGTTTACCGATCCGGGGAACCTATTTTCCTGAAGAATTGTGTTAAGACAAAGCTTTTATAAATTTCAACCGAAAGTAACACTTGCTCGGTCAATGAACGTCGAATCTTTTCTTTATAAGGAACCGGCTAATATTACCATTACCCTTACCATTCAGGGAATTTCGAACTGAGCCCTTTATTTAATCTAAGAAGGGGTGTAGATTGTTCTCACCTCAATGACCATGTATAGGGATACCACGCCTTGTTCTTATTTATTTCTGTTCAGTTATTGCTCGCCCTGTGGTTACTAAAACTTGCACTACCCCGCCTAGGGATTGAACTCACAATTACTGTGTCACCAAATTCACAAAAAAATGCTCAGCGTTTCATAAAGTTTTTTTCATTCATGACACCATTTTTCCTCACAAGATTTTTCGCGACCCCAGGTATTAAACAACTACCCTGAAAATACATCCATTGCCACTGAACTCGTGGTAAAGGCGTCGCACTCGCGTTTTATTACCGCTGCGCATGCGTGGCGCATCACGTTAAATATTGCCCGTTTGTCAAATAACATAGAAACTAAAATTCAAGTGTTTGACTTTAAATTTCGCGACCCCAGCATTTTGCTTTGCGACCCATTTTGGGGTGGCGACCCATAGTTTAAGAAGCGCTGCATTAGACTATGCCCTGAACCTAGAACTTGAATCCTTTAACCTAATGTTCTTATTCCTGTCTGCTGCTGGATCTCCAGCTGCTATCACAATTGGCTACATTCACCATAGTCTTATGGCAGTTGTTGAAACCTTGCTGCCAAATGTGAATATCAATTTAAAAACAAATCTCTATTAATGAAAACTAGACTAAGTTTATAAAAGTAACCATAAACACTGTCCGCCTCTTCGAAAAACTGTAAAATAAAATTCACAGTCACGTAACATTCGTGTCGGAGCGGAAACACATGCACTGCAACTGCAGTAGAAATGGTGTGTTTTGGGCATGATAACTTGACAAATCCCAAAACTCTTCAGGCTGGTTTGAATTCAGAGTTTTTTTCTTCTTCTATACCGATTGCCGCCCAATGCTATAGAACCCAGTCTATCCTGATATTTACCCATAGCTTGTGGGGGAGAGACGGATTCATACTTTTCGCAAGTGTATTATCACATAAGCGGATATAACTCGACTGGAATTCGAACTCACCTCTCCGATTCCTCAGTCCGAGCCGCAATCCAGTACACCACAATGCCTTAACACAAAACCATGACAGTCAATAATATTAAAATCGGATCCATCAAAATCCATAAACTTGGCTACTTATATGAGAATGGAAACATACATAAACTGTATTCACCACTACGCTCCATATTTTGATTAATGCAGAAAGTTTGGACAGTTTTTACACACTTTGTGTCCAGAAAAGAAAACACACGTACGAACACAAGAAAAATTACCGCAATTCCCCATGTATAATACGCATTTTTTTATAAAAATAAGAAAAAATCAAGGGTGCGTATTATGCACAGCCACAAAAAATCTTTAAAAAATTGCCGTAAAATAAAATAAGAATTATCATAAAACTAAATTAGAATAATATGATTCTATGTTTAAAACCATTTTAAAATAAGAGTAGGAAACGCTGGCCGTAATGAAATTAGAGAGGTACAATTTACAGGGTTTGATTATCAAACAAAGGGTGCGTATTATGCATGAGTAGAAGCATCTCTTTACACTTTCAGTACAATTTTAGCTGTGCGTATTATGGATGCAGGCGTATTGTACATGGGGAATTATGCTAAATAAAAAGCTTAACCGCAGTACCTTATCAGTCGTCTTTAACGAAACATATATATATATATATATATATATATATATGTGTTTGTGTGTGTGTGTAATAGGAACGCTCCAAAATGAATGCCTCGTCCACGGAAACGACAAATGCAGAGATCACAGTAACATGAATTTGTGGAGCGGCATTGCAAGCATTCAGTATTGCAAAACATCATTTTTTCTGCATAGTTACCTCCCCTGGTTATGAATTTTCAAACTGTTCATTTCGTGAGTTGGCATCTTTGTTTGGGCCGTTGGAAAAGTTGCTCGTCACACATATCTCTCTTGGTCATTCCTTAGACAAATTACCCAGCGTTCAACTGCTCTGATATCCACTGTTTGAATCTACGGAAACGTTCAACAACACTTGATTTTGATAGACAGTGGAGTAGGTTTGAATTTGGAGCAGACCTTCTTCTAGATTCGCTGCCACCCAAAACTGTCTACATTGTTATATAAGCCATAGCTGGATTGGAAGAGAGACTAGGCCTGAATTTGAACTCAGTTCTCTAATTTCACTCTCCATGCTGATAAGTTTGATGGTAACCACATATCTGCAACTAGAATAGCACCTGTCAAAAATCAATTTTTCATATGGATTAGTACTTCTTTTGAGATTGGAATATTTGTATGTAACTTGGGATGAAAGTCCTATTCTTGATACACCACTGATCCTAGGCATAATTTCTGTGCACTGTATCTCAGACCCATATATATATATATATATATATATATATATATATATATATATATATATGTGTGTGTGTGTGTGTGTGTGTGTGTGTGTGTGTGTGTGTGTGTGTGTGTGTGTGTGTGTGTGTGTATACTGGATAATGTATAGGAGAAGCTACGTGGATCTCTGGATACTCCTGCACATTTCAAATACCCTGCTGTATGGATCACACTTATAACAAACTTTTTAAAGGAGATAAGAAAATTGAATAGAAAAAAATGTCTGCGCTAATTGTAGTTTTCTCCAACTACACTTGATTTTGATAGACAGTGGAGTGGTTTCCCATCCTCTTATCCAAGCTTTTGAATTTGAAGTACACCTTTTCCTAGATTTGCTGCCATCCAAAACAGCCTACCCTGTTGTATAAACCATAGCCAGCGAAATTAACATGAAAGAAATACTAGTCAAAAATTAATGATAATGGTCGACAATGCTTTATGTAACAACATTCAAGATGGCGAGGGATTTTCGTCCGCCAGTAACATTCATTCACGAAACCTATTCCCTAACCCAACAAAAGAAAGAAAACTTTAAGAGTATTTGTAATTTTTGCAAATAACACTTCAAGTTCTTTTTACACTAAATTAATGCGGGCGTTGATGAACGACTGTGGGTGCATTTGTATCCGCATGGAAAAAGTTAGTGACGCAACCCTGTTCACTACGCACTTTCATGTCAGGAACTGTCATGTTGTGGACCAAACTCCGGCGTGGGTGCTTCCCTGAACATTTTAATCTCGAAGTCTAGGGTCAATCGTTATCTATCCAACATCTTAATAACCTCTACTGCCTACCACCGTCTTATATTTATATCACACACTTCATTCAGGACTCCGCAGTTTGAATGGCTCTTGGGCCTTGTGTTGGGTGAAATTTATATTTAAAAAAATAATAGATAAATAAAATTAAAAAATCATTTTCCCAGGCTTTCACTCTACTGCTACCTGTAATAAGGTAAAAAAAGGTAATAGATTATTGATGGGGAGTTTAAACCTTTACTCATCTACATCACAACCCCCTCTGACGTCATGAGCCAACATTTTGAGTGTTACTCCGAAAATAATGCCACCTATCTTAGTATTTTGCCCCCACCCACTCACATCAGATGCGGATATCTGGGTGAATAGGCTATTTTTCTTAAACACATCGGCGGTCACCATAATGTTGTGGGCGGTTATTTGCTCACATTATACCAGCAGAAATTAGCCTTGTGTTCATGGACATAAAAGCATACTTGACAGGAAATAAAACGTACACAAATAACAGGAAAAGCGTGGTAAATAATATGTCAATTTCATACAATTTATTTGCATTTTTGTGTATTGGTGTGTGTATTTTTTAGGTCACAAATGTTTTATGGCACATGTGATAAAAGGGAGAATTTACTCCGTATTCTTACAAGTCTTATTACAGAGAGAAATTAATCACGTGTTGCCCGTACCAAGGTTTGTGGTGAAAAGGTTGAATTTAACATCTTTTGGCGGGATGTCAGTATTTCCGTCAGGAACAGATATTTTGTTGCATGCTGGGAGGATTTTTATTATTTTTAATTTTTATTTAATTTATTTTATACAACGTTTTTAGGTTATTGTTTTATTTTATTTATAATTTTCATTGTTATTGTTATTTTATATTTTATTTTTATTCATTTATAATAATAATAATAATAATAATATTCCTACAGATAATCGTGGTATGAAGATAGAAGTTGGACTTTCCCACCATTAAACCATATATTTTTGACATTTTACACACTGGTAAAATAGCGTCTGTCATAAAAAATGCTGATTTCAAAGGCACGTGATTCGCCACACAAAGACGATTGATAGAATATAACTTTCTTCCACAAATGAAGTGGCGTTGAAAAGTTTTTTGTCCGATCGACTTATGAAAATCTGACTAAATAACCAAATCTCAGATTTGCGGAGTTTGTTCCTCTTGCTTAAGCCAATAACTTTTAGACCCCCCCCACTCCCGCGACACATATTCCAATCGTCTTTACCTTCATTTTGGACTGGTGCCAAAAAGAGCGAGGTTTGGTAAACAAGTGCGCCCACGTATTTGCATGGGAGAAAGCATTTTACAGAAGATGAAGTGTAACAGAAAGAAAAACAGAGAGATAAGAAAAGAAGAAAAAGGTGTAGTAAAATGAAAGAGAAAAATGCTTTTAAAAGAAGAAGACGGAGAAAGAGCTTAAAAGAGAGAGAGAGAGAGTGAGAGAGAGAGAGTGAGAGAGAAAGGGAGAGTGAGAGAGAGAGTATAACATAAATTCAAAAATGGGGCATAAAAGAAAGAGATAGAGAAAGAGAAAGAATTAACGAATTATATGTGAACTTAAACATATCCTACATATATTTTCTTTTTCTCTTTCTTCCTCTTTTTTCTTTTTCTCTCCGTCTCTCCATCACTCATTTTCTTTCTCTTTTTCTCTCCTATTTCCTCCCTGTCTCTCCCGCTCTTACACTTTTCTTTCTTTCTTACTCTTTTTTTTTTCTAGTTCTTTCTATTTTTCTTTCTTTCATTCTTTTTTTTTACTTCTTTCTTTCATTATTTATTTCTCTTTTTCTTTCATGCACTTTATTTGTCTCTTTCTCTCTTCACTTCTTTCTTTTACTATTTTTTTCTTTCGTTTTTTTCTTCTCTCATTTTCTTCTTTTTCTTACATCCTCTTTCTTTCTTTACTCTTTGTCTCACTTCCTTTTTAGGTGAAGCAAAAAGAAAGAGAAAATGGGAAAAATGGAGTGACATCAATGAGAGAGAGAGAGAGAGAGAGAGAGAGAGAAGAGAGAGAGAGATAAATAGAGAGATAGAGCGTGATAGATAAAAATAGAGAGAGAGTGATACGTAAATAGAGAGAGAGAGTGATAGATAAATAGAGAAAGAGAGTGAAAGACTAAAGAAGTAGAGAGATAGGGAGAGAGAGAGCAATAGATAGAGAGAGTGTGATAGATAAATAGAGAGAGATATAGAGAGAAAGAGAGTGTGATAGATAAATAGAGAGAGATATAGAGAGAAAGAGAGTGATAGATAGATAGATAGATAGATAGATAGATAGAGAGAGAGAGAGAGAGAGAGAGAGGTGGGGAAATGAAATATAAGAAGACTATGCGAATTTAGGGATATATCTACATAAATCTGTCTTCACGGTATTTTTTTAATTTTATACGCGTGTGACTTTAAAATGTTGCGTGGAAAGAGAAAAAAAGAGAAAAAAACAACATATCAGACAAAAGAGTAAATGGGAAAGAGAGAGAGGGAGAGAGATAGAGTGAAGGGGAAAGAGAGAGAGAGAGAACGTTAAAAAAATGAAATGAGAAATAAATATACATTGGTTTCTGTCAAAGCTGACAATGACAATAGCAGCTTTTGTGGCTACTGTTTCGACAGGCAAGATAATAGGAGTATATAGTTTATCCAAGTGTTGATTCACCTATTCTCTTCCCCTTCAGCCAGTAATAAGACATATTATGCAGCGATGAAGCACAACGCAGGGAGCAGTGGATTCATGCCTTTCCCGTGTGAATTGTTCAACAGAAGCAGTCAACTCGAAATCCTTTCGCTTGCGCCAATCCGCAGCCCCGATATTATAAAAAAAAATACACAAGGTTGATTTGAATAGGCCGAATCAAATTGTAAACAATTCGGCGAATATTGTATTGAAAGATTACTGAAGAAAATAAGAGGCAGGAGTTAATGTTTATGTGTGAACTTAATTTTTAGCGTAACCCGAGAAAGGAGAAAGGATGAAAAAAAAATGGAACGTACGCGGGAGACAGAAAGTAATAATAATAATAATAATAAAAGGGAGAAATCGGGCAAGGGGAAGTAAGAGGTGGTGGGGGGTCATTTGTTTGGCACGTGTAGCTACGGTTGTTGATGTATGTTCGCAT